TCAGCTGGTCGTGGACATGTACGAGAGCTGGAAAACTGGACAAAAATATGAGCCTTATGTTAAGGTATGCCAGAGCTTTCAACCATAGTTACTAGAGGGAAATGGTTTGTAAGGCCGGTAAACATCAAATAAGCAAACAAACAGGCTAAGATTTATGTTGGAAGGTCCTTGACCCTGGGCATCTTTTGTTTTATGCTTTTACTATGCATGATTTACATAATCGCAATGCATCTATTGGTTAGTTGTATGTGCACACGTAACCATCTTTTGTATTTTGCTAGGTTTTGTGCGGGATCAACCCCCAAAATAGCAAACAAAAGCATACAACAAAGAACTTTGCCCGGTTTCCTACCCATTTCCCTCTCTTAACTATGTTTCTACGTAGAAAAAAAATCATTGTCATTTTATCGTGTTTCCAGTTCTTGTTTGCTTTCATAATTACAAAGAGAAACGAAGAGTAAATTGTCCTTTCTTTTATCGATCATGTTGAAGCTTCTGCTTCTTGACAGTTGTTTGTCCAATTTTTATTTTTTTACCTTTTTTTAGGTGACTGCAAGTTTGCTGACGCAGGCCTTTGAGATGTTAGTGACTTCTAAAGTGAGTTGTTTCTTTTTTGAAAAAATAACTTTAACGGGTGCTTATCAATCATGCGGACACTGAAATACCATGACACGTTTTCAACGAGGATATACACAGACATCAACCAAGGGATATCTTCTTGATTTAGCTCCAAATTCTCACAACTAAATTTGAAGGAAATGTATGACAATCAATGGGGTGATTTGACATTTTGAACTTAGGGGTGTTTTCAAAGGGAAAGGACCCTGTAAAGAACTTCTTTGTAAGTCCTTTCACTTCGTTTTAACGCTGTTTGATAGGTGTTGGTGATATTCTGTCAAGCCAACAGCGAACATACTGCAACGACTTCATGAAAGTTTTAACGGTGTCACATCTCCTTATGTATTCTCCTAATATTGGGTTTTGCATTAGTGGGCTTTAACTTCATTTCTCGCCTCTCTAGCTCGATACATCATGTTATGTCATTGCTTGTTTATACACCTAATTAGCTTTGATTCATAAGCCGTCCACTTGTTTTAATCTAACAGTCATGACTATGACTCTGAACTAGAGCCAGGATATTGTAACAATCTTTGCGCATTTTGATAAACCAAACTTTGGTTTTCAACAATGTTAATAACCCTCGGACTCGTCTTGTTTATGTTACAAGCTCGATATATAAATGACCTACGGATAACAAAACAGGGCAGTGAAATCAAAATTGCCCATGTTTACAGAAGGTCCATTTTCCAAGTTGTGTGGCTCATAGCCACTTTGATCTTATAGCAGTAGTAGTTTGATCGTAATCGCTTCAACCCTGTGGGAAACAGCATCTTTCTCACGTTATTATTCTGCAATACCTACTTTTTTGATTGTAGTCCTCGTCAGGGGAGTCACTTGAATTCGTGCAGGAAAATCCAGAGTCGCCTTCCTCTTTG